ATCCGATTTCCCGATGCGATGCTGACCGATCCTGCCCATCGCATGAGCAGCCCCTGCGTGCGGGCTCACAGCAGGGGTTCCCCAGTGTTGGCCTGCGCGCTTGGATTTTGCCCCCCCCCCCCCCCGCCCCCCTCCTCCTCCTCCTCCTCCTCCTCCTCCTCCTCCTCCTCCTCCTCCTCCTCCTCCTCCTGCTCCTCCCCTCTTCCTCCTCCTCCTCCTCCTCCTCCCTCCTCCTCCTCCTCCTCCTCCTCCTCCTCCTCCTCCTCCTCCTCTCCCTCCCTCCCTCCCTCCCTCGCTCCCTCCCTTCCTCCCCATCCTCCCTCCCTCCTCCCTCTCCTCCCTTCCTCCCTCCCTCATCCTCTCCTCCTCCTCTCCTCTCCTCTTGCTCCTCCTGCTCCTCCTGCTCCTCCTCCTCCTCCTCCTCCTCCTCCTCCTCCTCCTCCTCCTCCTCATCCTCGCATCACGAACGATGGCAGGGACCTAGGAGCCGACAGATCAGCCAGAGGTGGAACGACCAAGAGAACGACACACAGGGTACGATGGGCAGGGGTGCAAAAACGCTTTGGAGCAGTGGGACGCAAGCTGCGACGGCTTCGTGTTCGGCGCAGAGCTGGAATCACACAACACGGCGGCATGGCCTCACTACGATACGGAGCAGCTTTCCACGGCATGGCACCAATTGCGCTACAACTGGCATGACGACGTTATGCACAGGCCCTAAGGACACCATGGCCAGGTAGGTGTCTCACCACACACCTGGCCGTGGAAGGCACCGACTGGCCCAGCTCCGAGGCCAGGATTTGGCGGAGTGCAGGGATCAAGGGACCTCGCCTTCGAGGATCGACGTAGGTGGCATCCCTTCCTCGGCGGATGGCGGCGGAAGTACCGCGAGGCTACAGTCGGGGCGCTGAAGAAGGAACCCTTTTCGCTGGGGAGGGGCTCGGCGTTCCTTGATTGTTTCAAAGTTTGCCTCGGGTTTTCCTGGGTTTTCCATAGGAGATCGAGGTTGAACCTATGGGAAAAAGGGGCCTCGTTCCTTATTTAGGGTTCCTTAGGTCAACGCCTCGACTGTACTTCCGCAGGCGGAAGCCAGCGGAAGTAAAACATGCCAAGAGATGGCAACATCTTTGGGTTCAGGGTTTCCAGCACCCGCCATGTATCCAAAAACCGTTTGCGGAATTGATCTTCGGGGTCCTCGGCACGCAGTGCATTTTGATAGATTCGGGCCCTCGCGGGCCAAAACATATCCACACCACAGCTCGCTGGAGTCCAGGACGTCGCTTCCCCAGGAGGTGTATATGGATATACCCGCGCCGCTCACACCATCTTTGCCCGCGCGTCCAGCCGTGGAACCAAGGACAGACGACGCGAGGATGTCTGGATCCTCTTCCTCCTCCTTCTCTTCCTCCTCCTCATCCTCATCGAGGGGAGGATCGAGGAGCAGGGAGCGGAGGACGGGGGAGGAAGAAGAGGAGGAGGAGGATCGATTTGGGGGAGGTTCGAGGAGGGATCGAGGGGTTCGAGGGGGGATCGGGGCTCGAGGGTCTCTTCCTCCCCCGCCCCCGCTCCCTCGTTTCCCCCTCCTCCTCTTCTTCCTCCTCCTCCTCCTCCTGCTCCGCCTCCTCCTCTTCCTCCTCCTCCCTCCCTCCCTCCCCTCCCCTCCTCCCTCCCCTCCCCTCCCTCCCTCCCTCCCTACGTCCTCCCCTTCCCTCCCTTCCTCCCTCCCTCCCCGTGCGCCCTCCCTCCCCCGTCTCGCGCGCGCCCGAGCAGCCCCGGGCCCTCGCGCCAACCCCCCCGCACCGGCCAGGGGCGCGCGCGCGGAGCGCGCAGGTCCCCCCCTTCCCGAGCAGGCCGGGAGGGGGGGGCAGATCCGAAAGGGTTCCTCCCTCCCTCTCTCCCTTCGTCCCTCCCTCCTCCTGCTGCTCCTGCTCGTCGTCGCCCTCCGCCCTCCGCCTCCTCCTCCTCCTCCTCCTCCTCCTCCTCCTCCAGCTCATCCCCTCCTCCTCCTCCTCCTCCTCCTCCTCCTCCTCCTCCTCCTCCTCCTCCTCCTCCCCACCCTCCATCCATCCAGGTGTTCGGACGGTTTCGTCCTCCTGCTTCTCCTGCTTCTCGTCTTCCAGGGCTCCTCCTGCTCCTCGGGGGCTCTTCCTGCTCCTCCTCCTGCTCCTCGAATGGTCGGTCCGGGCTCCTCATCCTCCTCCTCCTCCTCGTCCTCCTCTTCCTTCTCCTCCTCCGCCTCCTCCTCTTCCGTTTCCTCCTCCTGCCCCGAGTGCAGAAGATCTCTTGTTTCTCTTCCCTCCTCCTTTTCCTCCTCCTCCTCCTCCTCCTCCTCCTCCTCCTCCTCTTCCTCCTTCGAGCATCGAGCTTTGAGCTGCAGATCGGTATGTCGATGACAACCGCGGCCCTCAATGCCCTTGTGGCCATCGCCGGGTGGAGGGTTAGAGAACAAACAACAGTTGTTTGGCGATGGACCCAACCTAAAGCAGCTGCGTGTATCGCAGGACATGGCACACTCCCCATAGAACATGCGCTAGGCAATGGGATAAGCTACCTGTTGGGCCGCGAAATGCTTGATGGGCGGTCCGAAATGTGCAGGGGGTGGGGCCATGACGCGCGTGCGCGTGTGCCGACATGGGCGGGATGACCACATGCTAGACTTTGCCGTAAGAGTCTTCGGTGGAGCTTTCTACGGGGCCACGAAACGTGTAAGGGGTGTGCCGAAATGGGTGGGTTGTCGCATGCAACACCACCCTCTAGGGCTTCGGAGTGTAGAGCTCCCTCGCGGGGCCACGAAAAGTGTGACGGGTGTGCCGAACTGGTTGAAGGGACCGCGTGCAATATCACCTGCTGGGGGGTTCGATGGAGATCCGTATGGGGCCACGGAGCGCGTGAGCGGTGCGCCGACCCGCAGGCACCATTACCCCCTTGGGGTCGGTGGAGTTCCCTGTGTATGGTTACGAAGCTTGTGATGGTGCTCCGACATCGGCAATGTTTCAAATGCAACACCACCCGCCTGGGGGTTTGGGTGGAGCTCCCTGTGGGGCCACGGGACGCGTGAGCGGCGCACCGAAGTGGTCGGGGGCGACCGCATGCAACACCACCCTCTAGAGACTTCGGTGGAGCTCCCTCTGGGCCACGAAACGCGGCAGGGGTGTGCCGATATGGTTGGCGGCACCGAACACAAGCCCACCCCCTTGGTGCGTTTGGTGGAGCTCCTCATGGGGCCACGGGGCGCGTGAGCGGTGTGCCGAAATCGGTTGGGGGGGGCGCATGCAACACTATCCTCTGGGGGCTTTGGTGGAGTTCTTTGTGTATGACCACGAAGCTCGTGAGGGTGATCCGACATGGGTGGGGGGATCGCATGCAACACCACCTTCCCGCGGGCCTGGGTGGAGCTCCCCATGGAGCCAAGGGGCGCGTGAGCGGCGTGCTGAAGTGGCCGGGGGCGACCGCATGCAGCACCACCATCTAGGTGCTTCGGTGGAGCTCCTTCGGGCCACGAAACGCGTGCGGAGTGCGCCAATATTGTCGGAGCACTGAACGCCACCCCACTGGGGGCTTCGGTGGAACTCCTTATGGGGCTACGAAGCGGGTGAGGGGCCTTCCGACATGGGTTACACGGAGGGCATCGGCAGGAGGGGGGGAAAGCGGGAGGAGGAATGATTGAGACGCAGGGCGTTGCGGAGTCAAGACGACGACCAAACATCACATGATTATTGGGATCAAGAGGTAAAGGAAGACGAATCGGGCGACGAAGACGAAAGATATGATACTTAGATCAAAGCAGAAAAAGGAAAGGATCGAACGGCGGTGCAGATCCTGGGGGCGGGGAGGGGGTGAAGGGTGGAGCTGGTGCAAGCCCCCCCCTCCTCGGCAGGATTAAGTCGGGCTTGTCCCTTTGCAGGAGGAATATTCAAAATAGTCAAGAATTAGTCAGAAAACGATGTGTTGAGTATTTTTGTTGACCGTTCTTGAGCATGTTAAGATTATTGTTGATATCTTCGTCCCAAATCCCTCTGTAAAAGGACGTGCCCGACCTTAAACAAGGACGAGAAGACCATGGGGTGAAGAGCGAAGCAGCAACAGGACCACGAGAGGACACGGCAAGCAGCAGACTTGCGAGCGGACCCAGGGGACCCCCCGTCCTCCTCCTCGTCCCCGTCTTCCTCCTCCCGCCTCCTCCTCGTGATGCTGCCTCCCCCTGTTTTCTCTGACGGCTCCGTCGCTTTCTGGAGGGTGTTTCACCTCTGGATGCCTACCAGGAGCTGCGCCTCGTCGGCAGCGTTCCTCTGTCCGAACTGTCCCGATCGCCCGCCAGAGGCTCAAGCTATGGCCCCAAACATTTGTCATCTGCGTGCAGTGAAGCAGTCCCGACGAGAGGTTTGACTGTGTGTCTGTACGTACTTGTATACCCAAGCAGAAGCTATTCTCGCAATGATCGACCTCAAAAGGGGCTTTTGCCAGGCCACTGGACAGTCAGAAGACGACCTGGGATGAAAGTCCAGTCCCGGGGGAGGGGTCCAGACCTCTGGGGAACAATGTTGTCATGCAATCATGGCGTCGGATGTGTGGACTCCCTCCCCCTTCCCTCCGCCCTCTTTCTGTTGCCCAGCAGGGCTTTACGTTTCCCACATTCCTGTTTAATTCAGTCGTTCCTGATTCCACCGGTCGCTATGTTCCCTCTTCCACCTCCCTCCTTCGCCACGAGTGACCCTCCTTCGGTGGCCGGCAACGAGCCATGGAGACTCTATCCTCCTCCACCTCCCTCCTCCTTCTCCCCCTCCTCCTCCTCCTCCTCCTCCTCCTCATCCGTCTTCTCCTTCTCCTTCCTCTCCTCCTCCTCCTCCTCCTTCTCCTCCTCGTCCTCCTCTTCCTCCTCCTCCTGCTCCTCCTCCTCTCCTTTCCGTCGCCATTTTGGCCCAAGAGATTCGGGAGCGTCGCTTCTCGAATGGATGCCGCCTTTCCGCGGCTAGTGATCAGTTTGTTCCTGCTTTCCTCCACGGCGTGGCAGGCCGCCATTCCTATGTGCTCACTGAACACTTCACAGGGCCGTGGCATTGTCGTCGTGGCCTACGGGGTCATCCTGATCGCCTCGTTGCTGTCTGGACTGTTGTCGGTGGGACTGGTTTCCCTCCCTACGCCAACATGACCGACGGTGCCCCCCGCCGCAGGAAGAAGTCCAAGGCTCGCAAGGGGCAGGGCAGTGCCCCTCCGCAGGAACGGCCTCCAGCCGCTCCTGCTCATGATGCTGATGATGATGATGATGCTGATGATGATGATGATGATGATGATGATGATGATGATGATGATGATGATGATGATGATGATGGTGTTCGTTCGCGCTTTGCAAGGGCAGCTGGAAGCTCGGGCGGTGACGATGACCAGGACAACTGGCATAATAGTCGCGTCAAGGGACTGGCCCGCGCTCGCATCAGGGAGGCGTTCGGCAGGTTGAGCGAAGGATCCAGAGATGTGTCCGCCGTCTCCTCCAAGAACGCTGCCACACCAGCAGCAGTGGCGCCCATCGACCTCGCCATCCAGCAGCCCAGCGATGTCAGCAAGTGCGTTTTTGCGAACGCTGCTGCCGCCGCTTCTGCAGTACCGCCTAGCTCGACGGCATCGAGAAACGGCGACGGGAGCAGATGTACTCCTCCAACCAACGTCTCCAAAAAAAATGATACCAACATGCAGCTACATGTTGGTGCCCTTTTCGACCTGCAGAGCCAGGTGCAAGAAGTACGACGGGAGCTCGCTATCCTTCAGCGTGCTCCACCACCACCCATGCCTCCGGATCGTTTGCTCAAGCGCGACATCGGCATCCTGATCCTCGAGGTCAACGCACATGAGCTCATGCAGCGGGCGTTTGCCTCGCAATCGCTGGAAGCATGGCTTCGGGCACGCCGACCTCGACAGCGCGCTCGGGGTCGAGTCTGCCGAGCCCCAGTCCCAGCTACAGTCGACCAGCACAGGAAGGATGGGGCAGCCTTCCCAAGGGTACCCTTGCCTCCTTGCCTCCTCGGTCCATCCTTCGCCGCTTTCGCTGGCCGCGCCCCGCTCGAAAAGCTTCGACATGGGCGCCCAAAGCCCTGGCACCCTCATCGCGCATCCTTCCTATACGGGGGCCGACTGCGTCCATTGCGCGGCTCTCCGGGCCAGCGGTGGTGGCTCCCAGGGGGGGCGCAGCAGGCGCCCCGGGCATGTGGCACCAGGCCCCCCCCGCGTCCCGTCCGCCGAGGGCCCACCGCCCTTGCTGCGCGCGCGGCCTCCGACCGGCCGCCGCCCCACGAGCCGCAGGAAGACGCGGGGGCGGAAAAGAGGGGGGGGATGACTGGGGGGGGATATCATGGCGGGGGCCATGATATTTCTCAGATTTCATGGCGCCTCTTCTTATTTCATTACGTCCCTGGCCCCCCCCCGCTGGGCCGCGCACATGCCGCCGGTCATGATTAGCATGCCGCCGGTCATGATTAGCCGCTCCCGAAAGATGCAGGGCAGACCCTGCATCCGCAGGCCGCGCAACGGGTTCGGTGATGGGCGGCTCCTCCCTGACAGGAGCAACGGGCGGTTGTCAGGCAAGGGTGGACATAAACGCTGTTTGGGCGATTTCGTGGGCCGTTTTCGTTTCGACTTCGTATTGCGTTAAAGGCGGATGGAAGACAAAACGAGGGGAAACGAAAACAAAACGAAAACTAGACACACCGTTTAGGTTCAGCCCTGTTCGGTGATGGGCGGCTCCTCTCTGACAGGAGCAACGGGCGGTTGTCAGGGAATTGGGCCCCTCTGCTGCGCCGCCCCCCTTCGCGCGCGCGCCGAGAACCTGCGGCGTTCCACGGGAGCGACGAGGGCTCGGCCGCACAGCGGCTCTCCGTGCAGCGAAGCCTTGGCCACGGCGAGCCAATCGCCTTGCCTGGCTTCGCACTCTGGGCGGCGTCCTCGACGATGCCCCGGCGCTGCAGCGCGACGCCGCGCCGGGATCGAGGGCGCCGTTTTCTCTTCGGCGGGGTCGTCGCGGAAGATGGCCGCGACCAGCGCGTGGGACGCCCGTGCTCTTCTGCGGCTGCGTGGCTCGAAGGCGCCCGGACATTCCGATGGCCTCCAGCATCGCGATTTGGGGCGCGCTTCCATTGCCGCTCAAAAAAAGTTCATCCGACGCAGCAGCAGACCCACGTTTTGCATGCGGCGCATCGCCCCCAGGCCCACAGTTCCCAGCAGTTCCATCCCTGACGGGGCGTCGCGCAGCAAAGCGTGTGGGTGGTGGTGGTGTTGGTGGCGTTGCGATGGCGGCCAAGGGAGAGGTGTTGGGGGGTGCGGTGCGGCCCAAAAACAAATGTTCCTGCTCCTCCTCCTCCTCCTCCTCCTCCTCCTCATCATCATCATCATCACCCTCATCCTCATCCTCATCCTCATCCTCATCCGCTTCCTCCACCTCCTCATCGTCCTTCCACTCCTCCCCCTCGAGATTTTCAGATGGGGATCGGTTCAGCTTGCGCTCGTGACCCT